TCCAGTGTGTAAAGCCTGTAGCCCTCAATCAGAACATTATTATTATGTTCATTTACTCGAGCTTTTTCTGATCATATACAGAAACTTCAACCCTTTCCGATTTCCATTGGGCCCAGAGGCTGTGGTGATCCTCCCTCATGTACACAACCAGTTGTCGTGAGGCTGTTGACAGGACGAGGGGAATGGCTTTAAAGTGAGCCAGGGGAGCTTTGGGTTGGCTGTGAGGAGGAAGTTTTTCATGCAGAGGTGGTGAGGCACTGGAACAGGTTGCCCAAGGAGGCTGTGGATCCCCGTGGTACACTATGGGTTCTTATGGCACCCTATGGATCCCTATGGCACCCTATGGATCCCTATGGCACCCTATGGGTTCTCTGGGCAGCCTGGTCTGGTGGTTGGTGACCCTGCACACAGCAGGGGTTTGGAACTCAGTGATCATCGTGGGCCTTTGCAACCCAGGCCATTCTAGGATTCTATGATATTGTGATTCTGTGTGTCCCTATGGCACCCCATGCATTTTCAGGGCATCCCTATGGATTCTTACCTTGTGGATCCCAGTCGCACCCTGTGGATTCTTAGGACACCCTACGGACCCTTAGGACACCATATGGGTCCCTATGGCACAGCTATGGGTCCCTATGGCACCCTATGTGTCCTTATGGCACTGCTATGGGTCCTTATGGCACCCTATGGGTCCTTATGGCACTGCTATGGGTCCTTATGGCACCCTATGGGTTCTCTGAGCAGCCTGGTTTGGTGGTTGGCCACCCTGCACACAGCAGGGGGTCATTCTGGTCCTTTTCAACCCAGGCCGTTCTGTGATTCTATGATTCTTTCATTCTATGATCCTATGATCCCATGATCCCGTGGTCTATGATTCTCTGACTGCATGACCAAGGAGTCAGGCGGCGGTGCCCCGAGAGCCTGGGAATAGGCAGGATGGTGCAGACATTGCATGGCTGAGGGACATTCTTCTCTAGGACCTTCTTTAACTGGGCGCTACGAGACGGGAGGCACAACTGAAGCGGTGAGCAGGGAGCGATGGCTGCTGTTAACCGTCCGTCCGCGTGGCCCCGGGCATCGCTCAGCTCCTGCATGGGGTGGCACCCACAGAGCCATTAACCTCCACCTCTGCGTGCTGGAATGCTGCACAAACACCAATTAACGCCTCGCTACTCAACTGGGATGCGAGGAGGCGATGATCCCTGCTCGCAGGAAGGAAGGGAATATTCCATTTCCCACCCCCTCGTGTTAAGTGCAGACCGGCACCTCTGGGGAGTGCAGCTGGACGGCCACCTGCGAGGTGGAACAGCTTCAAATCTGTGATTCCTAAATCCTTCAGCGGTTTCTGCTGTCGGGATGGCTGCAGCACCATCCCAGGGATGCTCCAGCAGCGCCCATCGTGGTGCTGCTCTCTCTGCTCTTCTTCTTTTCTCCTGGGTAGAATCGTGCGTGGCCTGAACTGTTTTCCTTTGACAGGGCTTTTATGCTCTGTTCTTGCTTTTAAAGACCAAAAAAATGCGTTTTGAAGCGGAGCACGAGCAAAACTGCGCTCACAGAAAGCGCTGCTGTGCTGCTGGGCTGCTCGCAGCCCGTCTGTGCCGCTCTGGGACACCTCCGGGTGGGTGCGTGTGTGCTCTGTAACCTGTGTGCGTACCCTGGAGGTCTTTGTCCAGAGCACAGAGTGCCATGGACGAATAGAGACCCGTAGGTCACAGACTCCTGCATGGCCTGGGCTGCACAGGAGCACAGCACTCATCAGTTCCAACCCCTGCTGTGTGCAGGTCGCCAGCCAGCAGCCCAGGCTGCCCAGGGAGCCCACAGGGTGCCATAGGGATCCACGGGGTGCCAAAATCATAGAATCACCATAGAATCACAGAAAGGCCTGGTGGACACATAGATACTCATAGAGACCCATAGATCCCACATAGGGACACATAGATCCCCATAGAGACCCATAGATCCCACATAGGGACATATAAATACCCATAGGGAACCACAGATCCCACATAGGGACACATAGAGACCCATAGATCCCATAGAGACCCATAGATCCCACATAGGGGCATATAAATACCCATAGGGAACCACAGATCCCACATAGGGGCACAGAGATCCCCATAGGGACACATAGATGCCACATAGGGACACATAGAGACCCACAGAATCACAGACTCCTGCACGGCCTGGGCTGCACAGGAGCACAGCGCTCATCAGTTCCAACCCCTGCTGTGTGCAGGTCGCCACCAGCAGCCCAGGCTGCCCAGAGCCACATCCAGCCTGGCCTTGGATGCCTGCAGGGATGGGGCATCCACAGCCTCCTGCCAGGGATGCTGAAGCCCAAGCCTGGCTTTGACGTGCTTGCAAACAGAGGACTGCTGTACAGCTTTATTTTGTTTTACGCAGCCACTCTGTCTTCAGTTTCTGCACCTCGTGCTGCAGGGTGCTGGACATGCAGATCTGCACGGGGCAGATCCATGGCTTCGGCTCTCTAACAGAACGCAGGACGCGATTTGATTATTTAAACCTTTGGGATGGTCTGTCTCTCAGGAAACTGAAAAGATCCATCTATCAGGGAAACTTAAGGTCCAAATAAGGGAACACGGTTTGGTTTTCACACGCACGTTTAAGGCAGAATGGATTGAGCCAAACGTGGGTGACCGCCACGCGGTGTCTGCAGGGCGTCTTCCTAGCAGAG